ATCCACTAACAATCATCATATTTAAACATCATGCAAACATGCTATATATTTATAGTTTTTATAATTTAAGAGCTTTTCAAATACAAACATGTTAAATTAAATTATCATCCAACATAATTCACATAATTTTTCAATGTATATCTTTATTATGTTTTATGATATCCTATATACTTATATAGTTCATCCTCACTTAGTTAGTGCTTAAATGATTAATCTATGGTCCGAATTATCTTTTTCCTTTTTTCCTCTAATTAAGTCATATCACATCAATTGTTTTTAGCCTTTAGATGATTAATCTACGGTCCAAACTATCTCTCTACTTTTCTTCTTCCATAAAGTCATAACACCTTACTTTTTACGTTTGAATCACCATTCTACATACTATTTAAATTTGAATTATCATAAACCACATTAATTTACTTAATTTGATGTTATCTAGCTATCTTACACGTTATTTTTTTATTGTTATCATACTAAATTCCCGCAGCAATGCGCGGGGTTTCACCTAGTATTTTAAGATAAATGTGTATATATGTTCTTTTTTAACTAATCGTTTGAGAAGAGTTTTAACTTTTTTTTCTATTTTTTGTCTTACATGTTAAATATTTACAAAGGGAGTTGCACTTGATGACTGAAATTCTAATTCATATAACTAGTCAAGTTGCAAGTAATTAAGCTCAGTCCTCAAGTTCAGTTCGGTCATTATTTTGCCATGAAAGCCAACATTCTTTTTGTTAGTTCCATATCATTGGAAGCCACATGGTGTCATCATCGAAACTAGGTTGTACAATGAATACTGTCCCTTTTTATATGAGAGGATATTGATCAATAAATAAATTAACAATGGATTGGCGTCATGAAGACTGAAACAATGATCTGTAGCACGTTCAATCAATTGATCAGCCAGGGCATGATTTGGTGTCGTCCCTTTTCATTATTAGTATTACATTTTTTTTTCAGGACCCAAATTTTCCTGTAGTTTTAAGCCATGCCATCTCACATCACACGTAGCCTGATGGAGTTGGCACTTGCTGCTTCAACTGGTAGGAAAAATAAAAAAAAAAACGAGTTAGGCGCAGAGGAAATTAGGTTCCAACCATCCGTTTCAGTTTCAGATCCAGCGAAAAAGTGGATCAGAATTAATTAGGTCGCTTCTTTTTTTTCAATATGAAATCCGATTGCTTCCTTCTTTTTAAAGACGAAATTATCTTGCTTCCAAGCAAGGATGTACCCGATGCTTTTGGTGGAGTTTTATCAGGTGGAGTTTGACATTGATTCTTAGCTTGAAAAGGACTTGTGGAAAAATTGTGTGCACAGCCTGCACTTGATGTGCACAGTGCTTCGTACCTTTAGGCTAAAATTTTAGAGGATTTTATTCTTATAGAAATTTTTTCTATAAAACCATTGAATCAAAGGAATAACTGTATGTAATCCTATGAATTTTCTATGATGCCTCTTTCCATGTAAGTTTTGAGAGAAATTTAACACGAGGTAAAATCTCAAGGAAAGTTTCCTTTTAGGCCCCCTTCGATTCAAAGAAAAATTATAGGAATTTCGGGGAATAATTAACTATTTGCCACTCTTACGAGCGGTGCTAAATTATTTGCCACTGGACCCACATATCATAGACACATGAGGGTCCACATGTTATAGACAGCGAGTGATAAATAATTAATTGCCACATCTTAAAAGTGGCAATAAGTTAAATGTCCCGAATTTTGGAGGATTTTATTTTTTTACTAGGAATAAATCATATGACATCCTATGAAATGTCTCATTCCAGGTAAGTTTCGGAGGATATTTCATGAGGCAGAACCTCATGAAATATTTCCTTTGAGTTTTTATCTCTCCTCATTTTTTTTCTTTATCATACGGTTCAATCAAACGATCATTTAGTATTTTTTTGTGTTTTGTAATCCTCTATTTTACACTTATATTTATGTTAAAAATCTTATATTTTTTCTATTCCTCTATTTTTTCTATTCATACAATTCATAGGGGCACGGGAGTACAAAAGTTATCACCATTTGCTTGCAGGAGAAAAGGAAGAAGAGATGCCATATTAGAGCAAGTTTTTTCATCAAAATATAATCATGTGAGATCTTGTTATAAATATTTAATTGTTACGAACACAATGGTGTAATCGGATCGTAGATCGGATGAGTAGTTTAAGAGAAAATTTTATTTGAAGCATAGATTATTACTATTTGCTTGATGGACTAATATATTTTGAGTAGAGTAATAGCTTCAGCGGTGTCGCGCTGTAAGACTAAACCGAGAGGCTTCTCGGTTTAGATTTTGCGATAAAATAAACCAGCCGTGTGTATCGCGGCGGTGCATTTCGTGTTGGCTTCTACCCTACCGCCATAGAATCGAATCTCAAAAGTAAAGAAGAAAAAAAAACCGAGTGAAATTAATGAGAAAAATTTAAATATATTTTGTTTCATTCACTTTTTTGGACGGCCGCACGAGCGAGCCGGCGAAGTGAAACGAATCCGACTTTTGACCGCGCCGTATCCCGCGAGGTAACGCAACGCAACGCAACGACCCAGCGCCACTGACAACAGCGGGCCCGCCCTATCCGGACCCACATGTCATCCACTCAGCGCTAGACTCCAAGTGAAAATAGCCAACGGATGGGTGGTCTGAGCCTGACTCCGCCAGTCCGCCTCCGTGACCAACCCGGCGCGGCTCGTGGGCGGTCGCTTTCGGCCGACCGGGCCAAACGAGCTTCGTTCACGCGGGCGGACAGCTGCCCACCGCCACTGACAGGTGGGCCCACGGGTAGGAGGTCCTCGTCGCTGGACTCGTGGGCCCACCTCATGACCGGGGGGCGTTCCCAGTCAGTGGTAGTAGTAGTAGGATATATGGTGATTGTTTAATTAATGGGAAAATGGCTGGTAATTAATCGTGCGAAATTACGGAACTGGCCATGGCCTTTTCTTGGTCAAGTCTGCCCTGTATTTTCACCTGGAAAAAAAAAGCATGTGACGTCCATAACTCATGTGTGCAAGTCATGCAAACTTCATGCTGGCACCCTGGCTGTGTCAATGGAACGGTCACCACGAACTAAACTATATAAGTACTCGTGGGGTTTGCACTATACACGTGTGACAATTCCAAAAATGAGCTAGGCTTTTATTCGATAGGTAAATTAGGTTGGCAGATCTGTATTTATCTTTATGTTTCTCTTTCGCATCAAAACATACATTCCCCCATGTTTTTTTTTTGACATTGTTGACTCTTTAAATTTACATTTGATCATTCGTTTTAGTTAAAAAAAATCATACAGATGTGTGGAAATATAAGTCAGGGTTAAAGTAATTGTAATGATAAAACAAATCATAATAATAATAATAATAATTAGACAAACTTTTGTAAAGAAAAAACGGTGTCAAATATAAAAAAACGGAGGGATACTACCTAACACAATATATAGATATTTTGTGTCACAACTCACACAACTTGAGTTAGACGGTAAAAATTCGAAACATATCACCTCAACAATATAAACTTAGAACTCCCTCCGTTTCACAATGTAAGTCATTCTACCATATCCTATATTCATATTGATGTTAATGAATCTAGACTGACTGTGGGAAATGTGGGAAATGTCTAGATTCATTAACATAAATATGAAATGTGGGAAATGTTAGAATGACTTATATTGTGAAACAGGGGAAGTAATAATCAAAGAAAGTGATCAAATTCAAGGATGAACAATATCTAGCGACGAATAAAGCAGTGTTCTACGTAATTAAAACATTAGTACAAAACTCATACTAAGAAATATATACTTTTTAGCCGTTTGATTTGATTTGGTGGAAGCTATATATATATATATATATAAGAAAATAAGAGTCAATCCCATTGTAACACATCAACATATATAGAATATTTATATAAGTGTTTTTCTCATCTTTTCCCACACAAATTTGACGATATATATCTGTAAAACATTTGTAAAAGTAATGGACCATTTATAATACATTTGAGCATTAGTATACCTTTGCTCAAATGTATTACAAATATATATTTTCTCAAAAGATCTTTCCTATATTACATTGTTTAGACACTTATCTAAGTTATTTGTTTGGTTTATAATATTAGTAATATTTAATTTATCTGTATAATCGAGTAAAATATTTATTAAATTCGAATGGACCTCGGACATACTCCCTCTTTCAAAAATAATTAGGTGGGAAATAAATTTTGAAACAAAGTTTAAACTTAAAAAAGATTTATTTGGAGAAAATTACAAAACCACCTTGAGTGTTATCATGAGTTTGAGATTCTTCTTTACAAGAGTATTTGTTGCAAATAGCCCCTTCTAATTAATCTTTATTTGAGATTCTCTCAATTACCGTTGCTCGGCTATTCTCGGAGCTACAAACCCCACACATGGATCGTGTGGATACTAATTGGCGAGTAGCCATGGTCACATGGGTCAGATGTGTTTAGAGTCATGTCCATCAAGAGATATACTAATTCATATAACACATGCGGAACAAAGGAAAAAAAATACACGAGCAACACCAAATACAAAGAAATCTCAAGCCAAGATGAATTAGGGGCTTGTAGCTCCAACTCTAAATCTATCTCTCCTGGAGCTGGAGCCCAGCCAAACAGTTTCAGCTCCATGTAAAATAGGAGCGGAGCTGGGTGGATCGCTTTCAAAATAAACTAGAGATATGCAGCTGAGTTTAGACTACTCCACAACTTTACTCCAGATCCAATTTCTGAAACTAAATTTAGGAGTCATACGAGTCAGAATCTCAAACTCACAATGGTATTTTGATTTTTTTAGAATTTCCCCTTTAATTTGGGACGAACACGGGTAGAAATACAACACCTAAAGGGCAAACTGGTCAATCCAGAGCTCTAATCCCTTGCCCTTTCCCCTTCCCCTTCCCCTTTCCGAATTTCCAACCGAAACGCCATTAAAATATCCACAGAAGAAATAAAAGAAAACAAATAAAGAAAAAAAAAGGCTGTACTGTATTCTTTCTCCGACTCCGCTCCAATGCCGTTGCCTCTCTCCTCCCCCTCCCCCTCCCCCTCATAAGCGCGTGCGAGCCTCGCCTCGCCCTCGCCTCCGCGACCCAAACCCTAGCCTCCCAGCCCCATCGGAATCCGCCAGCTCGAGCCGGATTCGCCTCCCCACCCACCCACACCGGCGGGGCAGCGGGGATCCGGCGGCGGGGAGCGAGCTGCGCGTTTTTTTTTCCTCCGGGGCATGGTCGTCGCCGCCGCCGCCTGATCGGCTCACCTTGTCCGCACCGACGAGCCGACGATGGGGATGTCGGGGGCCACCAATGGCTGCGGCGCCGGCGAGTACATCAGGATCCCGGAGGACGTGGAGGCCGGGTTGGGGAAGGAGGCGGGGAAGGGGGAGGGGGAGGGGGAGTGCCCCGCCGTGCTGCGGTGGCGCGCGATCCGGTGGTGGGCGCAGGTCGCCGCCCTCGGGATCCTCCTCGCCGGTGCGGCCGCCGCCGCCGTCGTCTTCCTCGGACCCCTCGTCATTAAAAAGGTGCGTGCGAGCTTGCCTTTTCCGCCTTCTCCCCTCCCCCCTTCCTTCCTTCCCCTTTTGGTTGGGGAAAGGTTCCTTGCCGACTAGAGGGGTTCTTCACCGATGTTTCAGATCTCTCCTCTATTCTTCAAATTCTGCTCAGGATGTTTGCTGTAGAATCGATTTGATTTGTGCTAGCAAAACGTTCGCAAATTTACCCCCCTCCTAGTTTACTTTGCTTCTCGCTCGTTGATGTTTGCACATGTTTTGTTGATTTCGCGCTATTCTTTCCTTGAACTACTTTAGGATTGATTCTGTTTTTTTTTTGCCTGGATTGTTATCCTAGCCCAGTTCTGTCTAGTTCGAAATGAATAATTTATAGATGTTTAATTCAATTTTACCACCGTATGGATTGGAGGAAGTGATTAATGGTGGTGGTGCTGGACGATTAGTTCCACATAGTTTTACAAAAGTAAATAAGTTATAGCGGCCTGCAGGATCTGAATTATTACTAGTGGAATATGGAATGTTCATAGATTTTCTCATAAAGTTATGGGGACGGCTGGATCAAATGGGAACGTCGCAATTGGGGATATGGATTATATACACTGTGCCATGCGTAATATATAGTAAATATTCTTTGCAAGGAACGGAGGTATCAAATATCAATCAGCTAATACTGGCCAGAGCCTGTCAATTGGTATGCTGGGCCTGCACAGTGGCTCTATATGTGGGGTCTGCAAGCTTTTGGTGCTTTGGTGGCCTAGGGAGCTTTCACTACTAGGTGGATGGGTAGGAATAATATCACAAAGCAATTGGTTCCTGATATTTTTGGCTGTCAGGAAGTGAACTGTTCGTTAGTCTCAATAACATGGAAATTATATCAGCCCACCTCTTCCAAAAGCATACCTACAAGAGCACATGGAATGGACACAACAAGCAAGTTCAGTATGTGCTGGTGTTTGGGGGCTGGACCCGCAGGTTGGTGTTACTTGAAAGCAATCTCTTGGGGCCAGCCTGTTGCCCAGAAGTAGTTACAAGGAAAATATTTCCCCTGGTCTGTTTCCATGGTCATGTTTTTGGCTATTGTAGGAGGAGGAGAGTAAATGAGATGTATTTTATGGCTCCTATATATCGCACTGGTGCTGGATGACGAGTTTTCTGTTTGGTGATATAGCTGGCTCGTTAGATAACTATTCATTTGTATTCAAGGATATCACTCGTAGCAGAAAGGAATATCAGGATGTTGGATGGCGATGTCTGTTAAATGGGCAGAATGAGCCAAGATGTTCAGTTAAATGCCAGTCGGTGCTTGTGGATGGCATTTTGACATGGGCTAACAAGTGGTCTGTGTTGGTTGATGCTCTGTGTGCTTTCGCTGAAAGTGGAACTGATAGGAATAGTCTGAAATTGCTGCTGGTTCTTGATATTATGTTATCAAGATATTGTTGCATGATCTGACTGGAAACCAGAAAGGCCTATCATTTTTACTAGGTCCAATCCAATGAATATTTGAACTCTTATGATTGCCTTGTTACTTATGCTTATGTTGATTGTGATGCTGTGATATTTATTTTGCAAGTCTCCTATTGTTGTCTTGCTGACCTTGTTCTGCATGTTGCTGTCGTTGGCAGGTGATTGCTCCGGTTATTGAATGGGAGTCAAGAACTTTCAGCAGGCCAGTCATTGCTCTGATATGTTTCGGCGCAATCGCTTTTTTCCCAAGTGTGTTGCTACCTTCTTCTCCTTTTATGTGGATGGCGGGGATGTCCTTTGGATATTTCTATGGCTTTTTGATAATTACAGCAGCAATGAGCATAGGCATGTCGTTGCCATTCTTTATAGGGTCCGCATTCCATTCTAAAATACACGTGAGTATCTTAACCTCCTTCACATTTTACACATATAAGTTCAAGAGTTTCTTTTTTTCTACAAAATTGTAATGGTATTTGTTCTGCAGAGGTGGTTGGAGAAGTGGCCGAAGAAAGCAGCTTTTGTTAGACTTGCTGGTGAAGGGGATTGGTTCCATCAATTTAGAGCAGTTGCCTTACTTAGGATCTCTCCATTTCCATATCTAGTTTTTAACTATGCCTCTGTGGCTACAAATGTCAAGTATGGGCCATATATTGCTGGTTCAATGGCTGGAACGGTACATGAAACCTTCCTTGCAATATACAGGTTTGTACCTCTTGCATTGCACCCTGTTCTGTTATTCAGATATGACGCACTTTGTTAATTATTACTGAATTATTATCTAGTGTTAACCTGTTCAATTTTGTGATAACAGTGGGAAACTTCTCCAAAGCCTAGCCGTAGCTACTACCCAAGGTTCATTCTTGTCGGTAGATCAGATAATTTACAACGGCCTTGGCTTCTCAGTTGCTGCAGTTTCTACCGCTGCAATAACTATTTATGCGAAGAAAGCACTTCAAAAACTCCAAGCAGATGATGAGCTGTGTTGACTCTTGATGAGCACAGGAGATCCTACTCCGGATCAGACCTTGGTGCTAGTTTTTCCTTAAAATGTACTATATATATACAGAGGTGCTACTAATCTGGTTTCTAGTGTCTGCTACCTGACTACATTTGATCTGAGAGAGGGTACTGCAACAACTGTAAAGAGAAAATAGAGAACCAGAAAAACACTCCCCCTTTTTTTTTTCTCTTTTTGTTTTTGTTTTTAACTTGTAGAGAAAGTGCTGCCACAACTATCAATTTCATCAATGTATTGAACCGTGGTCTGTGGTGCAATGTAAATTCGTAATCTGCTGCTTTCTCGAGTGGAAACATCTGTTACTGTTTCTTGATTGTGATCCTAATTAGAACATAAATGTTTGTAGATAACGCTGCTACAACTATCAACTTCCATCAATTTATTGAACCGTGGTCCGTGTAATGTAACTTCATCCACTCTGTTTCTTGATTGTGATCCTCATCAGAACAGAAAATGCACTTATCAGAAGAAAGTACTAGCATCAATATTGACAGGCAGCATCTCCTTGCATACTGTTCAATACGTGATCCAAGTTGCCAACATGGCTCTTAATGCATCCATATGTTCTTATCAGGATCACTTGGTCGAAATGACAGTCTGGTATTTCCATGTCTCACGAGTAAAATCAAATGAGGATATTGCAGGACAAGTAGCTGTCACTTCATTTTTGGTTTACTCCTCGCTGTGCAGTACTTGTGAACTGCTCAGAAGTGCAAACATAAATTCAGGCACTCAGAACGGACACCATAAATAATAAATGAATAATGTTAGCAGCAGGCAACAAGCACTAGATACAAGCAAAGACAGATGTGCTGCAATTTCTTCCCTGATCTTTCACCAAAATGAGTGGAAATGCGCATTGATCTGACATTCCAGCCATGAGGAAGAAGGGTGAAGGGAAATATCATCGATACCTACTCCCTTCGTCTCAAAAAAAGACAAACCCTGGTTTCCGTGGCCAACGTTTGACCGTCCGTCTTATTTAAAAAAATTATGAAAAAAATTAAAAAGACAAGTCACGGATAAAATACTAATCATATTTTATCATCTAACAACAATGAAAATACGAATTATAAAAAAATTTCATATAAGACAGACAGTTAAAGTTAGACACGGAAACCCAGGGTTTGTCTTTTTTTAGGACGTAGGGAGTACACATTATGAATAATTTAGCTTTTTTAGTGGCAAATAACTGATTTATTAACTTTGGTGATAGGACTTCTACTAATGCAAATCGCAAGTAGGCCAAGGGTGCAATGCAACTTGCCCTCCTAGTTTTAGGTAGTAGTGGAACATAACCCTAGTTCTTCCGCTCTGGCATTGTGATTCAGGAGGCAGGGGCAATGGCATCTCGTAGTAGAATGTCATAAAATGCATTTCATGTAATTAACTACCCAATTAAATTTATGGACTGCCACATCGGCATCTTTAGGTAAGTAAAGAAGTGAAATGACTAATCAAATCTCAAGGTAGGTTTGAAGTCTTTCAAGTTCTGTCTGGAATGTGGTGATAGAGTTTTGGACGCATGAATCCATACCAAGTTGTACATTTTTGGTTGGTGTAGACTGTAGACAGCAAAATTTACACTACCATTATAAAAGGAATAAGTTCAATTCAAAATCAAGTTACTGGCTACGACTAAACTTTTGCAATAATTTACCCTACTGTTCTTGTTTTGTGACGGGTGCTTTAAACATGGAGTACAAAATCTCAAAACTGAACTTCGGATCAATGAAGCAATCATCAAGCGCCATTGGCCTTGATTTCAAGTGTCATCTCAATGTTTTAAAGGTGAAGGAAGTCAATAGATATGGAGTTCGCAATGACTATAACATCCTTGGCTTCTAAAAAAAAAAAACCTTTGGCCGGATACAATTTCTATGTAGAGCATTGTTTTTTTTAAAAGAAAATGTAGAGGCTTTATTTGATTTCCATTATCAAGAAACAATTGATTATAACACTTAAATACATAGCCATCTTACTCAATCCTGGCCGTTGTTTTTCTTCAAAAATCCAAACAGATTGGACGTCAGTTCCCTGACAAAATTCATCCATTCTAGGCAGCTTATTAGCGTCCTATGTGTGGATCAGTTATTATTATTATTTGAAATCAGGCACCATTAACCTCCAAGAAAACAAGTACCAGGTACAGAAATAAATCTCCCTTGCTTCCATTGATTCTGTAGTACCTCTCCAAACAAAGCAAATTACAGGTTTCACTTTGGCAGCCACAGTGGTAAATGATGCTGCAAAAGCACCAGACTTCCTCTGCCAAATTAACTGACTTGTCTGCAAACAATCTACTATTCAAGAGTGACCTTAGAATCCCATGCAACCAAAAGCATTGAACTCGATTCCAGTACAGAACTAACAAAATAAATGCTCAATGGAGACATTTGTGTTTGTTGTATGAGCAAATGCATCCAAGAGGATCCAATCATGGGGAGTGAAATCCAAATGATTCGACCTTAATTGGTTTGATTTTCAGAATTTCATCCAGTAACCATGATGGATCTCACACACCAATCAATCATATCATATATGGAGATCAAACACTGGAAATATCATACCTGAAACTGTTGAAGCACTACTCATCTAAGAATGAGATCAACATAAAGTGAAATCACACCTCAGAAGCTGGAATCTAAAACCCTTTCACATTGAATCTCAGGTTGCTTTTAAGTTACAATAACCAATAACATGTCGAAGCTCAGACATTCAGGAAGGTAATTGAATCTCCATAGTGCATAAAATTATGGATCTTCCACATGTTATGCAACTGACAAAATCACACAATTGTGCAGGCCATATAAAATGATACACAACAAATAGCTTCGTATCTAGTCTCGCAGATCCTTCCATCGGCTTCTTGAGTCACAATGCGATATTGTCAGTCAGAGAGGATTTATCCAATAATGCCGCTCATCTGCCTGAAGGCAGAGGGCACGGCAAAGCTAAATCAAACTATACACCTAAACTGAAAATTTCAGTGACAGCTAAATGAAAGTTTTTGTGGCTTCTTTCCACAGACACTTTTCTTGCTTGATGAGGTTATAGCTAGACCAGACTACAGTCTTTTCAGGATTACAATAAGAAGCGAACTCTAATTGCCAGCACAGTTATGCTCTTTATGCAGCTCCTAAATGCTGCATCAATCATGTAGACTCCACAGCAGCTGGTGCTGCCACTGCAAGCTTCTTGCTACTTGAGCTCTTGTCATCAGTCTTCTTGCCACCTTCGGTGGCCTTGCCAGATGCTGGTTTCGACCCTGAGGTAGAATCAGGCTCGTCATCCTCGACAACAAGCTGTACAGGACGCTTGCGGCCACGGTGCATATGGCGTTCGCAATATTTCTCATTTGCAATTGCATTTCTCCAGCACCGCCACTTCTTTCCATCAGTTCGCCGGCACCTCCCAGGTTCTGGTTCTGGGTTCTTTCCAAAGTCCAAGCAGAGTGTTGCCAACCCCATCACTGCTCAATTCAGCATTGTAAATCAATTAGAAATGCCTCAAATAACTCTAAACAGCACATGGAAGAATTTGAATCTTATATGCATCTAACATGACGTTGTAAAGGTCTGCTTCAATAAGTTCTTTAATACCTTAATATTACTGCATGTATAAAATTAAATTTCTGCTGTAAAATCACGGGCTTGAAATTACATTAAAAACTCGCCCTAAAAACTGCACATAGCTAGCATATTTACTGAGAAATGCATGGTTGAACATACAAAAAAAAATGTATCTGAGTTTTTGCAAAAGGAACATAGATTATTGTACAAGTTAGAAGAGCCTACATGTCGGGTACTTCTGGGCGCCTTCAGAAGATGCACCAGTAACACTCTTCCATATTGGGAAGACGAGATGAGTAGGCACAGGCACACGGGCAGCCATATACTGGTAGACACGAGATTGCTGCTCAAGCTCCTGTAGTTGCATCGCGGTGAATGCCGCCCCAGCACCAACTGGGACGGATTCAACGAGCGCTTTCATTTCTTCCTGAAGTGCTGCAGTTGCTGCGGCTGTGAACCAAACAAACACAAACTTTTTTCAGCTAAGAACTTTGCACAGTCAATCAAGCATAAGCCCTGAAATAAGTAGATGCAGGCATGAGTACTTAATTCTAATGAATAGTAAAGCAGCTTGACATTGCAAGTACTGACAAAATTAAGATAGAAAAAAAAACAAAGTCCAAATCTACTCCTTTTTGCATGGCAAGTATTAATAAAAATTAGCAAAACAACAAAAGGTAAAGGCAGAAAAAAGAGAGAGGAGACATTTGGTTTCAATTTGGTGTCTTCCAGGATTACAAGTCAACCACAGTTAACAAAGGAGAAAAAGTTCAAAAAAGACTTGCTCCAAAACTGATATGTGGACTGACAGGATCCCCAAATCTTTTATTTTGGATAGACAGTATCCACAATCTTTGAATGACTCGTTAGCATTTAGCAGCAGGGAAAAAAAAGCTAGTATTAACGAACAAAAAAAGAATCACTAAATGCCTAAATCCCCCCATACTAGTGGACTCCGAAGTACACTTATAAATCTGTAGCTAACAAAACAGCACTCGCACTGCAGAACAGACAGTTTTTTCTTCAGCCTCGCGAGAGGGAAAAAAAAACGCATTCGCACAATTAATTCGCAAGAACAAAAGCTAGCACCAACCCTAGCATCAACCAAACCAAACCCTCCCCCCTCCTCCTGCTTCTGCTGCTATTCTGCTTGTACTGCAACTATTTCCTGCTCCACGACGTCACACAAGATGAAAGACCAATACTAGTTCACTCGATTTTCCGCGAGATTTTCCCGACCGCGACCAAGAAATCCCGCAAAGAGGAGAGCAGAAGCGCAAGGCGCGGGTACCTTCCTCCGGATCCTCGACGGGGACGGCGTCCTCGACGAGCACCAGATCCTTACACACGCCGCCCTCCTCCACATCCTCCTTCCCCTCCTCCTCCTCTCGATCCGCCTTCTCCCCTCCTCCTCCTCCTCCACCAGCCTCGCCCACCCCGACCGCCGCCTCCCCGACAGCCAGGCTGCTATCCTCCTCCTCCTCCCCTCCACCTCCGCCGCCTCCTCCCCCGGGAGGGTTGCTGGCGCTGTCCTTCTTGGCCTCCCCCTCCGCCGCCATGCTCAGCGAGCGCCGCGAGGAGGAGAAGGGGGGATTGGATCGGAGGGGAAGGGAAGGGAAAGAGGCCGGTGATACGGAGCTCTCGCTTTGACGGGGGTGGGGGAGGGAGGGAGGAGGCGAAGAGCGTGGTGGTTTTTTTTGGGGGCGAAAAGAGGAAGAAAAAAAAAAAGATGGGGGGAGTGGTGGTGTGGTATCAGGTGTGGGTGCAGGCGAAATTGGTATGTGCACAACCCCCCCCCCCCTGGGGTGGGGGGTGTGTGTATATAGGAGGTGCTGGATTTGGGGGTTGATGGGGGGTTGTGCTTTGGTTGACACTTGACACCAGGGTTTAGAAGTTGCTACTTTTGGGAGAGGGGATGGAGGAATATTTTTGTGGGATTATATTGAATGTCCTCTTTTAATGGTTGGTGTGAGCCGGTCTAATTGGTAGTATGTGTGTTTTGAATATGGTAGGTTTTAGGCATGGTTTATATGTAATAATGTGTTTCAGGATAAAATAGATCGGCGCGGTATCGTGTTTAGTAGTACTTAAAACACTTTTTTTATTATTATATCCGGAGTGTGAGAGTAAAAATAAGATAGTATTGATGACACATATATGGCGTGAAGCTCCATAAAATCAATCATGTGTTTTGCTTAAGGACCCGTGTAAATTTTAATATTCTTTTCATGTGATTTAGAAAATTGTTTTGATATTGTGTTGTATAATTATGTAAGATTTTTTTATAGTAAGTTTTGTTTAATTTTTTATATTTCACTCACAAGTGATATAAGAGTATTACTTAGCTAAAATTGTATTATATATGGTGAAGGATTCTCATTTCTATTTAGTACTCAATATTTTTGCTTCAGATCAGATAGTGCTAATAAAACTAACAAACATCATCAATTTTAATTGTTACATTTTCTTAGTTCTTTCAAGATTTACGTATGTAGATAAATTTTTTTGCAAAACTAGCTCTATTTGACACCTTAGAGAAGACAAAACGTAGCATTGCACCACGCGTACACTCATGCAAGTGGTTGCGTTACATATCAAAACATGCAACGTCTGCCACCTACCATGACATCAATATGGGAGACTACCGCTTAACTGATTATGTTGCTTTATAGTAGTCTCAAGCTTTTTAGAATGCTTTTCGAATATTTGTCTGATTATCAGAACGATGCGTTGCTATTATATCTAATGTTTGCATACTGAGAATCTGGTGATTAAAAAACATATATAAATCATTTGTTCAATATGGTATGTTGATGTAAGCTAGAACTGGATTACTTTATTGGGGGAGGGGTGGGGGTGTTAAATTATACCCCCTTCATTTCATATTATAGTTCATTTTGACTTTTTCTTAAGTAAAACTTCTATAAGTTTTGACTAAGTTTATAAATAAACGTAGCAATATTTCGACACTACAAATATACTATTATACTATTAAAAGTATAGCCAATATTAGATTTACTGAAACTAATTTGGTATTGTAATTGTTGCTATATTTTTCTATAGACTTAGTCAAACTTGAAAAAGTTTGACTTAAAGAAAAATTAAAACAACTTATAATATAAAACGAAGGAAGTATCATATACTCCCTCCGTCCTAAAAAAACTCAAATCCTAGCTATATGAACCTAGACAAGTATTTATCCAGGTTCATAGCCAGAATTTGATTCTTTTTAGGACAGAGGGAGTAATATGTAATTTCTCAAACGAACCCTATAGGGGGTCATATATAAAAAAATAAAGATAATAAGAAAAATCATACCTACAACATAATGATAAAGAACAAAGTAATACAGTAGCTCACGTCGAATTCTAGGGAGATGTTAATTATGTTATAATTTTTAAAAGAATTAGTATTGTCGATAAATATCATGAAAATATTACACCTTAGGGCAGACAAGTAGACAATCTTAATACTGGCATCGTGTACGTCATGCATGCGATGGTTTGTATTACATATATCATCTCGCACCTACTGTGACGTTAATAATGGAGACTACTGCTTGATTCATTATGCTGCTTTATTGTAAGTTCAAGCCTTTCATAATGCTTTTTGGCTAGATTCAGTGGCGAAGCTACCGGGGGTGCCGGAGGGGGTCAGCACCCCCCCTATCCCGAACACCCCCCCCCCCCCTCGGTGGCTGCTAGTAGTATATTACATGGTTAGGCAATTAGGCAGCATCCACTGTTAGGCCATTAGCACGTTAGATTATAGTCATACTCTTAGTACTTAGTCTTATAATTTTCATCTTTTCAAAGTAAAACAGAAAATGCTTATTTATGAGACTATTTGGTAGTTTACATTGAAAGAATTTAGCAACACGGACTAGTTCTAAACTTTCAATAATATTATTAAAGAACTGAATTCAAGTTTTTTAGGCATAACATATGATGCCTTGTTATATTGAACATTTGAACCTTTTTTTAAAAAAACATAACATATGATGGTTTTGTAATCTAGCTACAACGAAGCTATATTTATATACACATTGATTATTGTCGGTAGTGACTATTTGGCTCATTTAGTATCCATATTGGTTAATCGGTCTTATGGCTTCCTCCACCACACCCCCCTAACCTCAAATCCTAGCTTCGCCACTGGCTAGATTGTCAATGGTTCGGCCGATGCACCGCTATTCTATCTAATGTTTGTGTGTGGGGAATCTGTAGATCAAATCAAACCATGAAAGATACATACATAAACCATCCTTTTGTCAATATGGTATGCTGACATAAGCAATTTCTACTTTGCATCTTTTTGGTAATCTATATAGTACATAAATTATCAAAGAAAACCTTATAGGACTTTTAGAGTGATGATGCCTACACCTACAAGACAGTTGCAGAACAAAACTACAATCCATGTTGAATTTTAGAGTGACTTCAGATTTTTCAAAGAAAGAAAAAAAAAGAAACTACTACAGTTCTAGTTCTATATAGCTAGGATCAGTCAAACCATCTAAAAAGAAGTACTTTTAGTGAATGTTCTGTTATCATAAACTGAAAACATCCGTGATCAGAAGCTACCAAAGTTAGGTCTTTTTTTTAGGACAAGCAAAGTTAGGTTTGATTTCACAAGAGTGACATCCCTTTCCCCTCCTAGCTACTCGGTGTGAGCGTAGTCAAACTCGAACTGTTTTTATAGAGCTTTGGTTGGGTCTCTGCGAATTTTGGCCTCACATGTCAGCCTTAGCAACACACATTCATGGCCAGCCCCGAACCCGATAAAGAAAAGGAGAGAAAGCAACAACCGGTGCCCGGTGCCCCGCCCTACCTTTCAGAGATTGTACTAGTTCCTGTTCTTTTTCTAGTTACACAATTGTTTCTAAATTCTACACTGAGCTCAACAAAATTAATTAGGGCCTGCATTAGCCCTGGTGTATATTTTTTTACTACATGTCATGCAATATTTTAAATATTTTATTACAAACAAATATGACTTCCATCTCAAAATATAAATTAATCCAAATCCTTTGTATTTTAGAAGGGAGGTAGTATTTGGTAAGATGGCAGGTGCATAGCCGGATGGCTACTGGCTAGGTATGCCATTCCAAGAGTAAAGGCTGCACATAGGTATGCCATTTTAGGCCGTATTCATTCTTCTTAGTTAGGACTAACGTGCAGTGCATATAAAACGGGGTGACCTATTAGCACATAATTAATTAAGTATTAACTTTTTTTTAAAAAAAATGGATTAGTATGATTTTTTTAAAAGCAACTTTCATGTACAGAATTTTTAAAAAACACATTGTTTAACAATTTGGAAAGTGTGCGTGCGGGAAACGAGGGAGAGTGAGTTGGGAACATGAAGGAACGAACACAGCCTTAAGAGGCTACACGTGTTCATTTTCTGTTTGACTAGTTAAGCTACGGTTGATAAGCGGTAAAAACATGAATGAATAACAAAAATATTTTATGTTAAAACTTTTGTATACGGTTATGCATTATTTAAAAGCTAATACGGAAAAATAGAATATGATGAAAAAAAGACCCAAAACAACTCTGCCATTAAGCTTTAAAATTTAATTTATTTTTGCGGTTAATAATCAACAAACACGATGAGTTACGAGTGTGTGTACCAACCTCCTTAATATACTTCCTCTGTCCCATAATATAAGGGATTTTGAGTTTTTCTTGCAACGTTTGACCACTCGTCTTACTCGATTTTTTTTGAAATTATTATTTATTTTATTTGTGACTTACTTTATTATCTATAGTACTTTAAGCACAACTTTTCATTTTTTATATTTACAAAAAGAATTTGAATAAGACGAGTGGTCAAACGTTGCAAACAAAAACTCAAAATCTCTTACATTGTGGGACGGAGGGAGTACCTCTCATGGGATAAAGTTGTGTAGTAGGCGTTGTGTCCCAAGTTACTCTCTTATTATAAACATTTAGCATACTGTTATGCTCAAGTTAGCGATCAAATGGTGAGTATTATCTTCCCGCCATTTTTTAAACTATCATCTGATAATATCCATATAGTTGGATAGTTGATGTCTAAACCAGTCACTACTATAGATCCCTTTATCTGTAACGGATCAATAAAACTTGTTACATATTACTTAACTAATCTGCAACGGATGCATATACTGAATGCTGAAGATAATGGTAGGCGCTAATACTCATTAGTGATGACCACACATCTGTGATGGCTCTTAATGTGTGGAGCTGTTACAAATATGGAGCTATTCATCTATAACAGCTCATAACGAAGAGTCACTGTATATAGAAGGTTATTTGCAACAGTTCTTTGTTATGAGTTGTTATAGATATCTGGTTCCATATCTTTTACTTTTAATCGTTATAAATAATATCCACATAGTATTACTACCTCTTCATCTCATTTGATGTCCCCCAACTCCTTTTACCTCTGTCTCTCCCATAGCCCTAGTCTTCTTGATCCTCAGAGACCAGCATTGAGCGTCACCATCCCTTTCTCCTCCCCCTCCCACGCTTGCCACAATGAAGATACACGCAGAGGTGATGAACGGGCGCCGAGGCAGCGGATCGGGTGGCCATGTCCGCCTCTTTCTTCTCTCAATTGTTTCTGCCTTCATCATCATCATCCATGCAGCAAAGCAGCTGAAGCATATGGCATCCCCAAGGCCCAAGCCATCCTGCCACATTGTCTTGCCTCACCTTCCTTCTCCGAAGAACTGTTGGTGCTGAGTTTGGGCCTGTCGGATCCGTCTGCTATGAGCTCGAGCCAGCATGAAGAAGGGGAG